AATATATATATATATATATATATATATATATAAATCGCGCGAGCACTTCTTCTGTCTAAACAGGAGGCCCCATGGGGCACGAGTCAGCATTAATAATTTTTGTTATTAGTTTTTATATATATATATTTATCTTGGTCCCTAACCCTAACTCCGAAGAGTGAGGAGCCTCCAAGGAATGTTTTATTTCACCCCAAATGGTGCCCTTTTACTCTCCTATTTTATTTTTAAATGTTACACGCGTAAGTTTGATGTTTTTTTATGAGGCCCGTACCGAGTGGACATGCATTCTTTAGTCTCGGATCAGGGGAATGACAAGGTAATGGCCGCACCAGCATCCCTAGAGGAACCTGGGAAGACGCCCACCAAGGCCGTTTTGCGCATAAACTTCCCTCCCGTGAAAGATAGGGAAGAGATTCTTCGTTCACAGCAGGCCGGCATCCCCGATACCATTGCCCGGGATAACCTTGAGCAGGATATTCCGCCCGTTATTCGTAGCGTGCTGGAGCTCTCGCACCTTTTGGTGAGCGGTTACAGTCAATACTTCCGAACCGCGCCTGGGTACGCTGGGGGGCTGTTCTACCACGGCTCACCCTACTGCTTTGCGAGCGGTTACCGGGATGGCTTGCGGCCGAAAGATGACGATGATAAGGAGAATCATATGCGACTAAAAGATCCGCTGACATACGGGGTTCTTTCCTTGCCTATCACTGCCGCCTACTTGTGTGAGCTTCATGGGAAGAACATGTTTGATCTTGAACGGCCGTTGGTTGAGTATTTGCCGGATCTTCAGGAAAAGCTAGATCCGGACGTGACAGCTCGCAGCATTCTATCATTCACGACTGTGATTGATGAGAGAAGGATTTTGAAGGATGCTGGGGTTAGCCAGTATGTACCGTTTTTCGCGTGGAATGTGTGCGACGCGGTTGCAAAGCGTGTATATGCCCCTCTGAATCGCTTCTTCGCAGGTGGACGCACTGATACCCTTAACGGCCGTCAACAGCGGGAAAACCTTGTTCAATACATTCGTTCTTCCAGGCAATTTCGTGGCTTCCTTCGCCGTCCGCTCAGACTCGCGCATGTTAGCCATTTTTCCGTAGCAATTCTTATCGCCGCAGTTGAGGCTCAGCTGAACGGTGTAAGCTTCGAGGATTCGATTCGTGAGCACTTCTTCGAGCCCGCTCAGTCCCACCCCGCGGGTTACGGTCCACCTACTTTGTGGCGAGATCCCAACGAAATCTTTTACCAGCCTAAGGGTCTTGCTTTGCAGCATCAAGGCTTTAAGAAGCCCATTCCCACGGGGTCTCCGGAGAATTGTGCACCACCCGTATTCAATGCCTCGCTCAACCTTTATAGTCCAGTCGAAGAATATGCAAAACTACTAATGCTTTCACTTGACACCATCCGGGACGCCAGAGAGATACTCGGATGCCCTAATCCAAGGTATCCTCATCACGACTTTGGTGTACGTATTTTGCCAGCCTACGAAGAATTCCGCTTAAGACCGGCAATTTTATCCGGCCTAGACTTCCTTCCGACTGCGGCCTCGTTCCGATACGATCGAAAAAATGATTTAGGTACCCTTGGTATTTCTTCCTGTGGCACTCGTGGAGCTCGGATGTTTGCAGGCTCCATATCACACGTGATTCAACATCTGTTCGTGAAGCATGTACTTCGCGAGGGGGTGAATCCTGATAAGCCCTTAGATTTAAATAACCCTATGGGTGAACCAAGCACTGAGACCGAGCGCAAATTCAAGAAAATTACGAAACAACAGGAGCACAAAAGCTACTTTAAGAATTTAGATGCACATAAAAAGCTTTAATATGCCCGATACTCCTGTACTTTATCGCATTTTTTTCTTATTGAATTATCCCGCTAAAGTTGAAATGATTTTACAGTTCATAGAGCGCTTGGGGTTTGGTTCTCAAGGGGAATGTGGGGGAGGAGGAGGAAACCCTTGTAGAGTGAATCGGTTAGTTATTGAACTTCTCAAAAACATTTTGAGTCTTTAATGTCTGTGAATGTGTCCTTTGCTATTATACACGGCATAGTTCCTATGCCTAGAGCATCTGTATCGATTAGTTAATTTTCCTAGCTTATTGTCATCTCTTTGCGTATCTGTGGTACAACGTCATGAGAATGATCGAATTTATTGACTACTTTCGTTCATTTCAAACATTATGTCGGCAATACAAGCAGATTAAGTAGGTTGTCATGTAAACGGTCCTTTTGAAATGGTGCGGATTACGCGGGGTCATTTTTATATATACAACAGCCGAGAGAAAAGATATAAATCGCGCTGGTTGAGCTGAAAGATTCTACTATTAATAGGAAACTACACTGTAAACAGCTCTGTAGGTGAAAAGAGAAGTAAAAAGACTGTGAAGAGAAAGGGTAAACCTTCAAGAAAGCAAAATTTCTTTGCACCAGTGAGGTTGAGCAATGTATTCTGTCCAATACCTAAGCTAAGAGGAACCCCAAAGAAGGAAGGAGCCATTTCAAAGACTACTATAGTCTAATAAGAGGGGCAAAATGAATTGAATAGTGTGATACAATATTATACGACATAAAATTTGATTAAAGACATATATCGATTCTGTTAAACAGAATATGAATAATACTCCAACAAGAATAAATTAAAAATATAATAGCATTAGTAATAAAAGCATGAGAAATTGTATCAAATAAACTAAAGATTCCTTTAAAAGTTTCCTAAACCGTTAGTTTCTATTATACCCTATAACACAAACAGCTAAAAATCGCTATCATGACTTTTGAAGGCGCCATTGGTATTGACCTGGGCACGACGTACTCGTGCGTAGGCGTGTGGCAGAACGAGCGCGTGGAGATCATCGCGAACGATCAGGGTAACCGCACGACGCCATCCTATGTGGCTTTCACTGACAACGAGAGGCTGATCGGGGATGCTGCGAAGAATCAGGTGGCCATGAACCCGCAAAATACCGTGTTCGACGCGAAGCGCCTGATCGGGCGAAAGTTCAGTGACACGTTGGTGCAGCTCGACATGAAGCACTGGCCGTTCAAGGTGGTGACGAAGGGGGACGATAAGCCGCTGATCCAGGTGACCTTCCGCGGTGAGGAGAAGATGTTCACGCCGGAGGAGATCAGCTCGATGGTGCTGCTGAAGATGAAGGAGACGGCGGAGTCCTACCTTGGCAAGCAGGTGAAGAAGGCCGTGATCACGGTCCCCGCGTACTTCAACGACTCCCAGCGGCAGGCTACGAAGGACGCCGGTGCGATTGCTGGGCTTGAGGTGCTGCGCATCATTAACGAGCCGACGGCGGCTGCCATCGCGTACGGCCTGGACAAGAGCTCGGGCGACCAGGAGCACAATGTCCTCATCTTCGACCTTGGCGGCGGCACGTTCGATGTGACGCTGCTGACGATTGACGGCGGTATCTTTGAGGTGAAGGCCACCGCCGGTGACACCCACCTTGGTGGTGAGGACCTTGACAACCGCCTGGTGAACTTCTTCAGCGACGAGTTCAAGCGCAAGAACCGTGGCAAGGACCTGTCCTCGAGCCAGCGGTCGCTGCGCCGTCTGCGCACCGCGTGCGAGCGTGCCAAGCGCACCCTGTCCTCTGCGACGCAGGCGACGATTGAGATCGACGCGCTCTTCGACAGCATTGACTTCCAGTCGACTATCACCCGTGCCCGCTTCGAGGAGCTGTGCGGCGACCTCTTCCGCAAGACCATCGAGCCCGTCGAGCGCGTTCTGCAGGACGCGAAGATGGACAAGCGCGCCGTGCACGACGTCGTGCTCGTCGGCGGCTCCACGCGTATCCCCAAGGTGCAGTCGCTGGTCTCCGAATTTTTCGGTGGTAAGGAGCTGAACAAGAGCATCAACCCCGACGAGGCCGTTGCGTACGGCGCGGCCGTGCAGGCGTTCATCCTGACCGGCGGCAAGAGCAAGCAAACGGAGGGTCTGCTGCTGCTGGACGTGACCCCGCTCACACTCGGCATTGAGACTGCTGGCGGTGTCATGACGTCGCTGATCAAGCGCAACACGACGATCCCAACCAAGAAGAGCCAGATCTTCTCCACGTACTCGGACAACCAGCCCGGCGTGCACATCCAGGTCTTCGAGGGCGAGCGCGCCATGACCAAGGACTGCCACCTGCTCGGCACCTTCGACCTCTCCGGCATCCCCCCGGCGCCGCGCGGTGTGCCCCAGATTGAGGTCACCTTCGATCTTGACGCCAACGGTATCCTGAACGTGACGGCCGAGGAGAAGGGCACTGGCAAGCGCAACCAGATCACCATCACGAACGACAAGGGCCGCCTGAGCAAGTCGGAGATCGAGCGGATGGTCAATGACGCTGCCCGGTACGAGGCCGAGGACCGCCTCCAGCGCGACCGTGTCGAGGCGAAGAACGCGCTCGAGAACTACGCCTACTCGATGAAGAACACGATTAACGACACCAATGTCGCTGGCAAGCTGGACGAGTCGGACAAGAAGACGATCGAAAGTGCTGTCGAGGAGGCCCTGCGGTGGCTTAACAACAACCAAGAGGCGTCCAAGGAGGAGTATGAGGATCGTCAGAAGGAGCTTGAGGGCAAGTGCACG